GCAAAGGAAGACGTCTCTCTCTCTCACTGTCCACTCTGCCTGTCAAAAAAAAAAAAAAAAAAAAAAAAAACAGCCTAGAACTGGCACAAGAATAGGCATGTATGGGCCAATACTGCAGCACAGTGGGTTAAGCTTCTGCGTGCGGCACTAGCATCCCATGTGGGCCACAGTTCAAGTCCTGGCTGCTCCACTTCCAATCCAGCTCCCTGCTAATGCACCTAGGAAAGCAGTGGAATATGGCCCGTGTCCCTGGACTCCTGTCACCCATATGGAAGACCCGGAAGAAGCTCCTGGCTTCCAGCTTTGGCCTGGCCCAGCTCTGGTCATTGTGGTGAAATGGGGAATGAACCAACAGATGTCTCTTGTCTTTCTGCCTCTCCTTCTCAGCTCCAGCCAGTGTGGCCATTTGGGGAGTGAACCAGTGATGGAAGACCTCTCTTTCTCTCTCTCTCTCTCTCTCTCTCTCTCTGTCTCTGTCTCTGTCTCTACCTCTCTCTGTAACTCTGCCTTTCAAATAAATAAAATAAATATTTAAAAAGAAATAGCTTACACACAAACATTCAGAGTAATATCATTCATTTTGCCTGTCTATTGACTGATAAATAAATAATAGAGGGTACATCAGTGTAAGGGAATATGGCTTGACAATAAAAACATAATAAAATGCTGATTTTTTTTTCATCTATGCTTCAACATAGATGAACCTTGGAAACCATGGTAAGGGGAAAATCCAGACACTAAAGGCCACATATTCTATGATTCTATTTACATGAACTGGGTATAATAGACAAATCCGTAGAGACAAAAATAGACCAGAGATTGACAGGTCTGGGGGAGAAGAGGGTGGAGGCTGATGCTGAAGAGGACTGGGTGTCTTCTGGCGTGATGAGATGCCCTGGGATTTGAGAGCAGAGACGGTTGCCCAACTTTGTGTAAATACTGAGAAAGCTCACCGTCTGTGAAACACACGAAATAAAGCTGGTGTTTTTAGCGAATCTGATTCCATTCTCGAATCGGGTTGTCCGTAAGTGCGTTCCTCCCGTTTCTTCTGCCCCTCCCTTCCAACCCACCCCAGCTGGTGAAGCCAGAAGGCAAACAAGTTCTTAATTTTATGTAGCTGAAGCAATGTGCATTGTTGAGGGCTGAAGAAAATACGGTTTGAACCCAGGCAAACCCATATCACAAACGAAGGCTGGAAAGTGTGTGTTAAGTCCAATCCACCAGGATTCAAGATTTCAGCCTGTGTGTGTGGCCATCACCCAGAGGAAATGCATTCAGCCTGTCTTTCATAGCAAGGTTTGGACCCTTTTAAGTCAAGGACCAAGGCCGTGTCCCCACGTTTTGCTATCTGATCTGTTTTCTTGCCCCGCCCCCGCCCCCAGTTCCCACCTGAACCCTCCATCTACGGAGAGGATGCTGTGGACGGCTGATGTGAGCCCCAGAATCCTGCCGTTTGCAGAGGGTGGCGGTCAGCCGGGCCCCACCGCAGGGAACCTGGCCCAGCCCAGCCCAGCCCAGCTGCAAGTCCTCGGCAACCATCTGTCCCCGCCACGGGCTCCTGCTGCGGACCCCACTCCCGCCTGGCAGTCTGGGGGCCCCGAGCTCTCCCTGGAGGAACTGAGCGAGATCCCTTAGGAAGGCAGAGTGGAGGGAGACAGATAAAAGAAGACATTTGGAAGGATGAGGGAGGGGGGAAAAAACCTCAGCAGCCCGGGAGACTTCTTCAATGCTGCCTCAGAGCCGACAGCTCGTAAATAAATACGCCTGTTACGTTCTTAGCCCCTGACACCGATTTCAGGTTCTTTCTGCTTGTTGTTTTGGATCTACTCTTTTGAAAAGTCCGGATGGAGGTTCTGTGATTGTGAAGGGGGCTGGGGCTGATCAGAACAGGAAGGTTGTTGTCTGCCCTTGTTCTTGGATCTTCCCCTTAGTCACAATGCCAACGCGACTCTGTTATCACTAAGAACTACCAAGAAAAAGGCAAGTCAAGAGCTATGAGGATTCATAGACGATTTCCAAGGCCAACTCCAGCTTCCATGCAAACAACCCCGGCATTCCTCGGGGGACATTCACAGAGTCCCTCTGTGGGAATATCAATGTTCCTGTACCATTAGACTCTCGCAGAATGCAAATATTTTATTGGCCATGAACAGGACATTCATTAAATGCAAGCCCAAGAAAGGAAATGGGAGAAAAATTCATGAGGTTCCATGAAAATTAAAGAGAGATGAAAAAAAAAATAATAATAATTCTTACCAAACACCATTTCGCTGAGTTATGTACAAATAATCAGAAACATATTGTGCAAATTAAGCGTCTCCTGGTGTCCGCCTACATTTTCAAGTTAGTAGACAAAGTACTCAGCAAAAACTAAACCCAAAACAGCAAACATGTTTGGGATGTTGCCAGGCCTCAAAATAGTTTTCAATAACAACAACAAATAAAAAAAATGGCATAAGGCTGTGTTTTCCCTAAAATATTCTAGACGCCTTCAGAATCGCAATTTCCCCTGCCAATGGGGACTAACATAAGAGAAACTGGGAAGCCAAACATCCTGCCCTCCTCCAAGTCTGGATCCATTTACTACTTAGCTTTTCACTTACTCTAAATGTGGGCTTCTCCACGCAATGCTTTAAGAAAAGAGACACTTCTCTTGTGAAATAATCCTAAGTATGGGGCCAAACAAAAAATGGCTCCAGCTCCTCCTCTGGGGTAGAGAAGAAAAAAATCAAGTGAAGAAAATTAAAGCCCATACGAACACCCTTTGTCGATCCTCAGTCTGCAAATTCTCTCCGCCTCAATTCTAGACAACCTATGCCTGCACAGAAACACAGTCCACTCCGTTCTGCCCCAAGGCAAATGTCTATACAGCACAGACTGTTTGGTAGGCAATGAACGCATCACAGAACCATTGAAGAACAACCCAGGAGTTAGAGGGATCCATTTGAGATTTGTCCCTGTGTCTTCAAGTTGAACACAACTGAACACCAAGTAGGCTAGCAGGATGGAACAGCAAGACCAGAGCACCTGGCCCAGTTCTCCCCAGCCTCCCCTGCCCCCAAGACTCATCAAACCCTTTACATTCCCTTTAACCAAGCTATTATCATCATTTTAAAGGGCAAGTCTTATACTTTAGCAGTACTTCTTTATTTCTTTTAAGAAATTTACTCTCTCTTTTAAAATGTTTTGGGGTCAACATGATGGCACAGTGGGGGTAAGTCACAGCTTGTGACACCAGCATCCCATATCTGAGTGCTTGTTCAAGTCCCGGCTGCTCCACTTCCAATCCAACTCCCTGCTTACGTGCCTGGGAAGGCAGTGGAAGATGGCCCAAGTGCTTGGGCTCCCGACATTCATGTGGGAGACCTGGATGGAGTTCCGGGCTCCTGGCTTAGGTCTGGCCTAGCCCTGATTATTGTAGCCATTTGGGGAATAAACCAATAGATGGAAACTCTCTTTCTCTCTCTGTCACGGCCACATCTGTTGCTCTTTCAACTAAATGAAAATAAACCTTTAAAAATAAATAAATAAATGTTTGTTTGATCTAGCTGCAAGGGTGTCAAACTAAAATATCAGCCCTGTTATCTTCATTACTCAATTAGGCAGGACTCAAGACTGTTTTAGAAGGCCCGTCCGTGACTGTGGGGGGACATGATCAATGGCTTGTTTACCTAGGTTGCCAACTGTTCTTTTTTTTTAAGATTTTATTTATTTATTTGAGAGGTAGAGTTACAGACAGAGAGAGGGAGAGACAGAGAGAAAGGTCTTCTATTCGCTGGTTCACTCCTCCAAATGGCCAATGGCCAGGGCTGCACTGATCTGAAACCAGGAGCCAGGAGCTTCTTCCAGGTCTCCCACGTGGGTGCAGGCACCCAAGGACTTGGGTCATCTTCCACTGCTTTCCCAGGCCATGGCAGAGAGCTGGATCAGAAGCGGAGCAGCCAGGACTCGAACTGGTGCCCATATGAGATGCACCACAGGCGGAGGCTTAGCCAACTATGCCAAAGCACTGGCCCTGCCAACTCTTCTTGATACAGAGATCAACGGCACAGGTTGAATTATCTCTCCCAACACTTTAAGCCTCTACATTGATAAAATAAGCCAATTAATTGTCATTTCCCCAGTTTGCTTCATGGAGCGCATTTAAGACAAGTGAAAGAGGAAAAACAAAAATAAACGTAATGCTCCCCTTTTTTTTTCTACCAACAGAATTAGGAAAGTGCTGGGGAAGAAAGGACAGAGACCGAGCAAAACCAACCACATCGCAAGTCATCCTGAAGATTCCGGAATTTTCCTAAGGACAACATCCACAACACGGACAACTTTGCCTCCAAACCTCGAAACCGACCCAGCTACTGAGACACTGCTTTTCCCGTACGTCCTGGTCTGGTCGAGGTTAGCCAGTGATCTGGAATTCTGCCCAGTGGGGTAAACAGGGCCTGTGGTTCCTTCATTACCAGTAGTCCAGAGTGGACAGGGCATTTGCCAATAACCGTGAACCTGAACTGAAAGGGCAGCACCAGGCACCCCCCTCCCCCGAGAGCCTCCGCTCACCCCTGGTCCCCAAGCCCCCTTTTCCCTTGCATTTGACAAAGTGTTACAGGAACATAAACTGAAAGGGAGCAGCCAGGGCTGTGTCTGTGCGGTTGGCCGTCCAGGGCTGATGGTGGAAGTTTCCTGCAGGTCTCAGCGCTCGCTCTGACTCTGGGAGAGGAGGGCTGATCTGCCTTTCTATAAAGCAAAATCACCGGGCCCGAAGAATTGCTGAGCTATCGGCCGGTTCACCTCTCTCCGTGCGGGCAGGTGCATCCCTCAGGCTCAAGGAGGTAACGTTTGCTGCTAGGAGCAGTGTCTCACGGGCACACGCTTCCCCCGGCCAGGCTCTGCCTACAGACTTACTTCTCTGCTGTCTTCCTCCTCGAGCCCCTAGGAGTGGAAGTCACTGGCGACAGCCTGCTCACACTCCAGAATGTCAGTGCTGCAAGGCAACATTGAGATACCTGAAAATATGCTGATATCAGTCTTCGAGAGCTGAGCACCGTGCAAATTCACTTCATATAGGGGCCAGTGTTGTGACGCAGTGGGCGAAGCTGCCACTTGCTACGCTGCCGTCCCATAGTAGAGTGCTGGGTTCAAGTCCTGACTGCTCCACTTCCAAGCCAGCTCCCTGCTAATGCACCTGGGAAAGCAGAGAAAGATGGCTCAATTGCTTGGGCCCCTGCAGCCTATGAGGGGGACCCAGATGGAGCTCCAGGCTCCTGGCCTCGGCTGGCCCAGACCCAGTCGTTGTAGTCATTTGGGGAGTAAGCCAGAGGATAGAAGATCTCTCCCTCTCCCTTTCCCTCTCTCTCTTTCTGTGTGTGTGTGTGTCTCTCTCTGTCTCCTCCATCTTCTCCCTCTGTGACTCTTCCTGGCCAATATAACTTTACCAAAAAAATAAGAAAACTACTAAAAAATAACACATAGGCATTTAGCCTAGTGATAAAGATTGCCAACATCCACACTGGAGAGCCTGGGTTCAATTTCCAACTCTAACTCCCGACTCCAGCTTCCTGCCAATGCAGACCCGGGGAGACAGCAGACATGACTTGAGTCATCAGACCCCTGCCCTCTACATGGGTAACCCGGATGGAGTTCTCAGCTCCCAGCTTTGGCTCCAGCCCAGCCTCAGCTGTTTTCTCTTGCAGGAGAGAACCAGTAGGCGCAAGCTCCCTCGATAGATTCGATAGATAGATAGATAGATAGATAGATAGATAGGGATAGAGATATGACTTTCAGAAAAACGATTTTAAAATTTTAAATATTAAAAAAATGCTAAATGATTTTAAAATTTTAAATATTAAAAAAGTGCTATTGTCATGCCAATCTTACTTCTTCCTAACTCAGTAGCTCCCATCATGCTCTGCTACTCTCCACCATCCATGCCTGCCCCCCCCCATGGCCCCTCTCCAGCCCCGCCCACCTTAAGTCTTGCTCTCAGCTGTCCGGGCTTGCTGCCTCTCCTTCAATAACCCTGGCCGCTTTGCCCCCTGGGAACCTTGCTTGTTTCTGTTGGAGAGGCCTCGCCTTCCCGCGCTGCACCTGACACTCGGCCTCCATCTCAGACACTCAGCAGCCCCGACCTCCCGCCTTCCCTCACGTCATTCAAGCCTCTGCTCCTCCCGATTGGACCCGCCCCTGGAAACATCAGCCAGTCCCTCCCCAACAGTCCCCTTCCCACCCCCACCCCCCCAGGGCCCAGCCTGAGCACCACCACCTGGGAGAGCGCAGCACTTCCCCCGTGAGTCCCAGGACAAGCTGCTGGTGCTACTCCGGCCTCCTGCTTGCCTCGTTACATGCACCCACTGGAAAACCCAATTTCAATCGAAAAAAGCTGTTCCTCCGCCTTGCAAACATGGAAGGAGACTTGGAGTTCTTTCGGCAAGAGGGCCAGACAGAACCCCCAGTCTCCCTCCAAAGCATCAGCTCCTTCTTCCCCACGGAGTGATTTGCAGCTCGGAACAGCCTAACAGGAGCACACACATGTGTTGCCTATAGAGAGTTGTATCAGCCAGAACGAGCTACAGCATCGAAACAAGTTAACTCCTTGAAGTTTGGGTCAGGAAGTACCTCTGAGGGGCCAGGGCCACTCCCCTGGACAGCTGTCCTCTAACCTAAGACAGCACCCAGAAAGGTGACCACTGGTCAGTGGGCTTAACCACTAACACTGCCAATAATAGCAACACAGCTCCTGGCAACCACAAGCTCAGCGAATATTGACGGCGCACTCTCCAGTGTACGCCACGCTGCACGCAGGTTTGCTCTGTCGGGCCTCCAGAATGTTCCTCTCACAGCACGCCGTGAGATAAAGTCAGGCTCACAGGACGGTGAGACCTGTCCATCGCGGTGGACTGAGTGCTGGGCCCAGAGCAAAAGGATTTGGGTGGGGGAGGGAGGCCGGCAGGGCCTGACGTCACAGGGGGCCTGGGGCGGGGGCAGCACGGACCCACGCTGCAGAGTGAGCCCCGTGTCACCCCTAGGATCATCAGTCGCCTCCCCTCTGTCCTCTGCACGCTGACCCTGAGCGAAACGCTGGCCCGCCATTGGCCAGTGCCTGAGCCCATTTTCCTGAGAGCAAGTAGTTTATTGGGAAAAGAAGTTTATTTCTTACCATTGTGGGATCTGGGAAGTCCAAGAGTGTGGAGCCGACACCTGCTCTGCATCTGAAGATTTCTCACGCCGCAGTGTAAGGGGTGGGTGAGGGCATTCCACGTGAGGCAGGGCCGGTGTGCCAGGGGAGCTGACTTCTGTAACAAAGAACTCCCTCTAGAGCATAGTAATCCATGCAAAATCCAGCCATGGGCACATCCATGGCTCACCCAGTCACCTCCCAGTGACCCCCCATCTCCCATCCCGGCTGCACTGGGGACCACATTCCAACATAGGAATATTGGGGGACACCTCTGAACCACAGCAGCAGGGCAGACCCCTGAAGTGTGGGACCCCCAGTTCATAAGTGGGAGTGGGAAGGGAACCTGACTCATGTGCACACTGAAGTTGGCCCACACGTTTAATCAACAAATCATCCACCGCCAGCATCTTAAAACTAGGAAAATCCATGTGAGAATACTGGATTTTCTGCTTCTCCTTTACAAAGCCGGCAGACACCACCACGCTGGGGTCCTATCCTGTAGAACACTGACAGCTGGAGCTCTGTGGGGGGGCCACCCTGCAGGGGGTCCCTCCAGGCACCTCCCTTCCCACCAGCCTTGGTCCTGTGCCTGAGCACCCCCAACGCCTCGCCTCCAGGGTTGTGAGTTCCCAGTCCCTGAAGCAAGCAAACAATGGGACTGTGTGGCAAAAAGATTTTTACTTGAGCCTTGACTGTCTCCTTTCCATTAAGACTTTAGCCCAGGGTCCCCCAAGCCCCGCCCAGCCACAGTCACCCGGGGCCACTCCTCCAGACACCTGCAGGACCTGTGTGTTACTGCCCCAAGCTCTGATTATCTCCAATCAGAGAGGCCTCCTGCCTGCTGTCTCCAACCACCTACCTTGAATCTATAAGTTTATTATTATTAATACTATTATGATTATATTTATTGTGCATTCTCTGTCCCACTGTTGGAAAATACTGTCCGAGTCCAGAAATCCGTATCTGCTTTATTTACTATTAGAGCTTAAAAGAATCCTGGTATACAGTAGATGCTCAATCTTGGAGAAAGAATGAGTGTCTTTGATTTACTTTACATAAATAAAATTGCAGCTAGTTTTATTCTTGTTAAGGTATTTCTCTGCTATATATTTTAATGTACAGTCTTCTATTGAGATAGATATTATCGCTGTTAAAACAAAAACACCTTGATATGTTTGCTAGCACCTTGCCATAAGGAGAGCATTATTGCATATAGAACTTCTGGTGCATCATGGCCCATAAGCGTCACAGTGAATGCCTGTGGCCGAGTGATTTGATTGGCTGAATAACATCCTCCAAACCGACCAGGTCCTAACCTCGGGTTAGGGTACCTGGGAGGATACTTCGAATAAGTTCTTGGTGGGGAGAGCATTTGGCACTATGGTTAAGACAGCGTTTGGAATCCTTATATTCTGCAGCTGAGTGTCTAGGTTCCAGCCCCAGCTCCACTTCCACTTCTAGCTTCCTGCCACGGTATACCCTGGAAGGCACAGAGGATACAGCCCAAGGGCTTGGGCCCCTGCCATGCACAAGGGAGACCTGCACTGAGCTCCGGGTCCCAGGCCTCACTTCAGCCTGGCCCAGTACTGGTTGTTGCCAGTATTTCGGGAGCAAAGCAATGGATGACATCTCTCTCTCTCTCTCTCTCTCTCTCTCTCTCATACACATTCACACACACATACACACCCCTTTCAAACAAATACATTTGTACAAGCATGTGGAAAATAAGATTACAAAGTAAGTTTGTTTTGGTTCAAAATTCTATATAGTAGAAGTCTTCAAAAAGTCCATAGAAAATGCATATTATGAAAAAAAATCTATGCATGGATTTCAAAATTTTTGAAATGCTTATCCTGTGGCAAACTTTGCAAATGTGACTAAGTTAAGGATCTTGATGGGGGAGATTATTCTGGATTTATCATGTAGGCCCCAGAGGCTTTACAAGTGTCCCTATAAAAGGGAGCCGGGGTGGATCCCAGACACACAGAGCGAAGAGAAGACACTGTGATCTGGAGACAGAGTGGGGAGGGAGGCAGCCCCAAGCCCAGGAAGGCCAGCGGCTTCCAGAAGCTTCCGGAAGCTTCCAGAGAGTCCACTACAGATAAGGTCGGGAAGGAATGTGACCCTGCAGACACCTCGTTGCCCCAGTGATGGACAGCTGCCCTCCGGAACTGTGAGATGCTATGTTTCTGTCGTTCGAAGCCACCGCGTCTCTGATCGCTTGTCGCAGCAGCCGTGGGAAGGTAATACAACGTGAGTATCCCAGGCGTGAGTATCACCGGCTTCCAGATGAGGAGCCAACTTCCCCACACCACAAAGCTGCAAGGTAAAGGAGCTGGGGCCAGCAACTGGAGCAGCAAGCTCACTGGCTGGGGCCTTGTCCCTCCACCCAACCCTTTGCAAGAAGAAGTAAGGGTGACAGCAAAAGCTTCGTCCAGGGCGCTCTCTGAGCAGCAAGCCACCACGCCTTGCAGCGGGAAAGACAAACCAAGATGCCTCACTGTTGCAAGGCATGGGGAGAGGCAGAGTGGCGGTGTGGGGGATGACCTTGGGCAGAAGCCCCTGGAGGAAGTCCCTCCCAGGCTGCCCTTCTCCCTCACCGAGTGTTCAAGGGGAAAGCCCTTACTGTTCTGGCCCTCACCTTCCTCTGTGTAAGAGGAAGACATTGGCGTGGGCATGAAGGCACCCGGTAGCATGCCCACCTCCCACAAGATCCGTGCCTGGCTCCTGACTCCAGCTCCCTGCTAAGGCAGCAGGGATGGTTCGAGTGATTGAGCCCCTGACTCCCATGAGGACTGCGTTCCAGGGTCCTGGCTTGGATCCTCCCAAGCTTTGTCGAGCATTTGGGAAAGTGAACCGGGGACCGAGAGCCCTTTCCTCTCCGTGTGTCTGTCTCTCTGCCTCTCCAATGAATTCATTTAATTTCATTCATCTTTCTAAAACTAAATCTAAAAAGGAAGGAGTGGAAAGACACCATTAATTCCCAGAGACTCCTCCCTGGGGGTGTTGGTACATTTGAAAGTTATTACCCACGATCCCTAAGGTCACATTCTTGTAGTCTTTTTTTTTTTTTTACAGGCAGAGTTAGTGAGAGAGAGAGAAAGGTCTTCCTTCCGTTGGTTCACCCCCTAATGGCCACCACAGCCGGCGCTGCGCTGATCTGAAGCCAGGAGCCGGGTGCTTCCTCCTGGTCTCCCATGCGGGTGCAGGGGCCCAAGCACTTGGGCCATCCTCCACCGCCCTCCCCGGCCACAGCAGAGAGCTGGACTGGAAGAGGAGCAACCAGGACTAGAACCCGGGGTGCCGGCACTGCAGGCGGAGGACTAGCCAAGTGTGCCACGGCACCAGCCCACATCCTTGTAGTCTTAAATCTCTGTGGTCCCCAGAACACCACGTGGTGCAGCAGCACCCCATCCCCCGCCAGTGTCTGAGCAGAGACTGGCTCTGTGTCTCCCAGGAGGAAAAACATTTCTCAAGTATCAACTACAAGCTCTGGATCACCTCCCTGGGGAGAACAACTGGGTTCCAGGCCCTGGCTGGGAGCTCCGCCATCGTAAATGCGGCCCTTGCCATCCCTCTCCCGTGAGCACTCAACGTTCTGGTCTGCGTGAGCCCTGAAGCACCAGATTCTTCCTCGACATGGCCAGTGGCTAGGAGGTCACTGCATTCACACAGGCCCAGCCATGCTGTGGCGAACACGTTGAAACCAGACAGCAAACGGGTCCCGGGTGTACAGAGCAGCCCCGTGTAAGCGACCAGGCCTCCTAAGCAAAAGAGAACCTGTGTGATTCCATAAGTCCTAGGCCCCAACACCCAGGTGACCGCTCTCCCTATCCACTTAGGAGAAAAATGTCTTATTAAAAGCAATCAGTACGTTATGAAAGTGAGTTGGGCAAACTGTAATTTTACTGGCTCTAGGGCCGAGTAATAAAAAGGCAAACGTGAACAGGTGTGCCAGTTAATGTCCTCCGATAATTGATTAAGTATGGTAGCCTCCAAGAATCCACCTCTATTTAGCTCTTGCGACGGAAACAGCAGAAAGTAAGAAGAGCAAACATGCCTGCTTTTTAAGCTCTTTATTAAAAATAAAAAAGCGTATTATATGGTCCCCACCTGGACCATGATTAAGCACTCATTATTGCAGGAACAATGGGACCATTGTGGTTTTTTTTTATCCTAATAACCATATTTAAATTACAGGCATGCTGAGAGCTAGCAACATAATGAAACTGAGGCCCAGGGACGCTGACTGGTTTTCCCAAAGTCACAGAGGGACAGAGCCAGAGAGCTCCAAAATTCCAGCCCAATAATTCTGGTAATACATGTAACAGAGAGTCATTCACCACCAACCCAGCTCAGAGAGTCTGGTGCTCGCTTTTCGGCAACACAAAGAACGTACGCAAAGAGCTGTACCGTCTGCATTAAGCAGGGTTCCCCAGAGAAACAACTGACAGAAGACATACATGTGTGCATGTGCACTTACTGTGTGGGCACATGTGCGTGTATGTGCAAAGAAAGAAAGGAATTAGCTCATATTATTGTAGAGGCTTGCAACGTCCAAAATCTGATGGAGGAAGCCACTAGGCTGGAGACTCAAAAGAAGGGTTGAAGTTTGAGCCCTAGAACATTCTACTGGGAAAATCCTATCTTGTTTGATGCTGGGGAGAGGGGTCCGTCTTTGCCCTGTTGTTAAGATCTTCAACTGATTAGATGGGACCACCAATCAGTTGGAGAAGAATCTGCCATACCCTGAGTCCACTAATTTAAATGTTAAGCTCATCCAAACACACACACACACACACACACAGAAAAAGCACACCTTCACAGAAACATCTAGAATCCTATTGACCAAGTATCTGAGCACCATGGCCCAGCCAAGTTAACACATGCGGTTAACCAATACCCCATTCCGCTGGCCATCCAGGTCTCCGTTCCCCTTTCCTTTGGTTTACGAGTGTCCCAAGAAGAACCCGGCAGGGTTGTCCATGTGGAGTGCCCAAAAGGAATTCACACAAAATCGACAACATCACAAAAGCTGGGTGACTGACAGCTGAAGTGTGGGATGCGGATGACAGAAGGTGCTCACCAGGATCTGTCAGTGGTGATGGTGTCAAGTGTTAGAGAAATGGACCTGTAGCAGGTGAAGCCCCCGTGTCTCGGCAGCTCCCAGCCATGTAAAGAAGGCAGCCTGTTTTCATCATCAATTGCTACAAAGCTGGCTGGTCTGTGCCAACAGCCATTTCACCACTCTTCATGAATCTGAGCTCAAGAAATTCAGACAGTGCACCAGGGGAGGGCTTGTCTCTTTCCTGCGTGAGGCCTGTAAAGGTTAGAATGTTCACAATGGCTTTGCCCCTCCTCCATCCAGTCTCAACCAGACCGCCTTGAACAGCTGAAGTTGGAGACCACAGGTCCCCTAGCCCGATTTCTCAGTGTTGGCTTTGGCCTCCTCCCTTTACTCTCGGGGCTTCAGCCTGTCCATGTGGTCCTCCCAGTAGGGCACCCACGGCAGCTCAAGGCTTCCAAGAACACACAATCAGAAGTGACCAAACCTTCTTAAGGCTGAAGTCCACAGCAGGCTCGGTGCCACCTCTGCAGAATTCTGTGAATTAAAGCAACTCGCAGGCCCAGGTCCCATTCAGGACGAGGAGACGTGCAAGTGCGTAAATACAAAGAGGTGTGGGTCGTTGAGTCACGAAAATGCCCGCCTCCTCCATCCCTCTTGTTGGTCTGTTGCTGAGTTCACACAATCGGCCACGTCTTCCCTAGATGAGAATCTGGGAAGGGAACCTCTCCTTCCCAGGAAACTTCTCTTGGTTCAGCCCCAGGCTCCTAGACCCACTCGTAACTCTCTTCCTTCATCTCCCATCAACCTATGGCTTTATTTCATTCTAGAACCCTTCCTTCTTCCAAAGGCATTTTCACCTCCCTCTTTCACACCAGACTTGGAGGCCCATTAGATCAGCAGCCTCCCCCAAAGCCAAACTGGTTTTTCCTCTCCTTGCATGTAAATAGTAAATATCGAAAATTTCCAGAAGATCTGGGCTAGGGGAGTCATTGCATTTCCTGCTTCTTGTGCCAAAACAAAGAGGAAAAAATGAATTGTGTTTCCATTTCGAGACCCAGGCTACTGGGGGTTTTAAGACGATTGGCCCCAGAGCCAGCCTGCACTTGCCAGGTGTCTCAGCATCCTCATCTGTAATACAGGTGGTAACCACCCTTAGAGGGCTGGTACAGAGATGGAACCAGTAAACGAACAGAAAGTAGGGCTGGCACTATGGCACGGCAGGTTAGGCCACCGCTTGTGATACCAGCATCCCATGTTGGAGAGCTGGTTTGAGTCCCAGCTGCTCGGCTTCCAACCCAGCTCCCTGCTAATGCACCTGGGAAGGCAGTGGAACATGGCCCCTGCTCCCTACAGGTGAGACCCAGATGGAGTTCCTGGCTCCTGGCTTCAGCCTGGCCCAGCCTAGCTGTTGCTGTCATTTAGGGAGGGAACAGTGGATGGAAGAGTGATATCTCTCTCATGCACACGTGTGCGCCCTATCTCTCTATCACTGTGCCTTTCAAATAAGTAAATAAATAATTTATTTTTAAAAAGGAACAGGCGGGCGCTGCGGCTCAAAAGGCTAATCCTCCGCCTGCGGCGCCGGCATACCGGGTTCTAGTCCCGGTCGGGGCGCCGGATTCTGTCCCAGTTGCCCCTCTTCCAGGCCAGCTCTCTGCTATGGCCCGGGAGTGCAGTGGAGGATGGCCCAAATCCTTGGGCCCTGCACCCTCATGGGAGACCAGGAGAAGCACCTGGCTCCTGCCACCAGATCAGTGCTGTGCGCCGGCCGCGGCGGCCATTGGAGGGTGAACCAACGGCAAAAAGGAAAAGGAAGACCTTTCTCTCTGTCTCTTTCTCACTGTCCATTCTGCCTGTCTCATGGTCCAAGATGAGGACCATATAATAGGAACATAAGTACTGAGGGCAAATCACAGCAAGTGTTCACTGTGCTGGCTGTGTACGTCGTGGTCTCCTATTGTACATGGCTGGCATCTTCCTCAAGCTCCCAGTGTGAGGAGCAGGCAGTCTCAGTTTGTGTCACTCCCAAGATATCCAAGGGGCTACGGTGTAGCGGATAAAGCCACTGCCTGCAGTGCCTGCATCCCATATGGGCGCCAGTTCTAGTCCCAGCTGCTCCACTTCCAATCCAGCTCTCTGCTGTGGCCCGGGAAGGCAGTGGAAGATGGCCCAAGTCCTTGGGCCCCTGCACCCGCATGGGAGACCTGCAAGAAGCTCCTGGCTCCTGGCTCCGGATCAGCACAGCACCAGCCATTGCAACCATCTGGGGAGGAGTGAACCAGTGGATGGAAGATCTCCCTCTCTGTTTTCTGTCTCTGTCTCTGTCTGTCTGTCTCTCTCTCTCTCTATCTCTGCTTCTCCTACTCTCTCTGTGTAACTCTGACTTTCAAATAAATAAATAAATCTTTAAGAAAAAAAAAGAAGATATTCATATTCCTCATTTGTCTTGGAAAAGGAAGCTCCAGTTCACATTTTTTGAATATTTAATTGTTTCTTAATTTGACAGATAACATATGAGTGTATCATGTACAACATGATGTTCTGAATATTGATGCATGGCAGGATGGTGAAATCTAGCTGATTAGCAACTGCACTGTCTCACAGTTCTCACCGTTGTGGGGAGAGCACAGGAATGTTATCTCAATGGATGGGGCATCAAGATGCAAAAATGCTGGGATCATTTCTCCTAGGGGAAAAAATCAAGTGGATCCGAATGAAGCTGCCCCAATACATCCAGGTACCAGGTGCCCCCAAAGGGAACATTTTGCTGTAATGTCTACCAAAAAGTTATATAGAGAGATATAGTATATGATGCATACGCACATTGATCTACATATATGACATATGACCAAGTATGAATTATACATGACGTATTTAAACACATGGTTAGTCTCTAAGTATAACACATAGGTAACAGTAGGCAGGTGTTGTGGTGCATTAGTTAAGTCACTGCTTGGGACCTCCACATTTCATACCGGAGTGACTGGCTTCCAGCCTCGCCTCCACTTCTTATCCAGCTTCCTGCTAATGTGCCCCCCTGGAAGCCACAGGCGATGCTGGGTCCCTGTGAACCCACTTGGGAAACCAAGCTTGGAATCCTAAGCTCCCGGCTTCTGCCTGCCGTTGGCGGGCACTCTCTCACTCTCATTCTCACGCTTGCTCTGCCTCTCAAGTAAACGAATAGGTTTAGAAAAATTATATGGTAGATTCTCAGGCTTGCCCACAGAAACCTGTCAAAGCTCTCATCCAGGCTGGTGCTGCGGCTCACTAGGCTAATCCTCCGCCTTGCGGCGCCGGCACACCGGGTTCTAGTCCCAGTCGGGGCACCAGGTTCTGTCCTGTATTTTAAAATTCCATTTTCCTGCTGCTGTTGCCGCAGCTCACTAGGCTAATCCTCCGCCTTTCGGCACCGGCACACTGGGTTCTAGTCCCAGTCGGGGCGCCGGATTCTGTCCCGGTTGCCCCTCTTCTAGGCCAGCTCTCTGCTGTGGCCAGGGAGTGCAGTGGAGGATGGCCCAAGTGCTTGGGCCCTGCACCCCATGAGAGACCAGAAGGAAGAACCTGGCTCCTGGCTTCGGATCAGCGCACCGGCCGCGGCGGCCATTGGAGGGTGAACCAACAATAAAGGAAGACCTTTCTCTCTCACTGTCCACTCTGCCTGTTAAAAAAAAAAAAAAAAAAAAAAAAAAAAAAAAAAAAAGCTCTCATCCACCCAAGGTGTGTAACAGCATGGAAGGAGCATCGTCCCTACCTCCTACCCTCATCCACGGGCTCTGCTAACCCCTCCTCCTCCCAGCAGCCCACCAGTCCTGGGCTTTGGGCTACCCTGGCTCTGAGTCACTGCCACCCCACAGCAGAGCGGTAGGGGTAGGAGGGGAGGTGGGGAGATGAAGAGAAGAGCAGCAGGGTTGAGAGGATTCTTGGTGAGAAGGCAAACCACGGCTCTGCCCAGCCCCTTCCTTCTCGCCTGTAGAATGGGAGTTCTGAAAATTCAGAGAGTGGCTCGGCTGGACTGTTTCTTAAAAAGCCACATACCGAGCAGACGTCCTCTCTCTCTCTCGCTCTCTTGCTCTCTCGCTCTCTCGCTCTCTCGCTCTCCTTAACAATAATCAGATCTTTTTTATTTAACACACATATGGTCTTTGATTTTTTGCTTCTTGCCTTCGTGGTTCCCAGCCAACCCGGCCCCCGACCAGCCCGACCTCGCCTTGAAACACGTGACCAGTGCACAGCCTCCAGGCAGTGGCCTGGTCTGTGCTTGTGGCTGCACGGCCCCTGCTCCGAGCGGCTCCTCGCCCCCCTCCCGGACCCCAGCGCCTCGGGAAGTTACTGGCAAACGTGCTTCTCCAGTTACGAATCTTGGCTCTGTTGCTGCTGACGCCTGCTTTCCTGCGGGACCTGACCGAGCTCCAGCCCCGCACTCCCAGCTCCCCTGGGCTCTGGGCCTCTCCCCCTACCTGGCTACTCCAGCCCTCCAGGAAGTCAAATCCAGCTGGGATTCAGGCCGGGTCGCGTTCCGAGCATTGCTTGACCCCTGATGGCTGAGCACCAGCTCAGAGACTGACCGACTTTCTCACTCTGCACTGAACGTGTCCAGAAAAGCTTCTGGGAAAACAGGCAAATTATTTTTCTAAACGATAGACTTCTTCTTAAGTCATTATTTATTTATTCGAGAGGCAAAGAGACAAAAAGAGACAGAGAGAGCGCTCCTTGAGCATCAAAACAGCTAAGCTAAGCACTAACCCGCCCCCCCAGCACCACAAAGCTAGTATCGTATTTAAGGATGTGAGTTAATTAATTTCTGTTTTGTAATGAATCACAGACACGGGTTTTATTCCTAAGTCATATTTGATGAGTTTCATAACAATCTTTTCACAGAACCAAGGAAAAGAGATGACTCATGGGCGTAATGAAACAGGGTTCTCTCACTTCCCTTGGCAAAGCCAAGCGTCTCCATAACTTAGCTTGTCTAAATGATCTTCTTTTTTTAGCCAAGAAAATCGTCTGAAACAGCAGGGCTCGCGAGCGTCTCCAGGCTTCTCTCTGAGCGTCTGTGTTAGAACTTTCTCATAACAGAAGAGTCTCGAAGAAGAGAATTTTTCCCCCTCTTTTTCAGATGATAAATGATTCGCTTCACTTTTTCGCATCCTTGGTATTTTGCGTGTTGAATATAACGTGGCCAAAACCACGTCAGGGAGGGGAAAGTTGCCTGAGATGTTCGAATTTTTAGTTGTGTTCATGAGAACTTTTTTTTTTTATCACCAGGCGAATTGAGGTTTGCATGTCATCGAAACCAGGCAAATACGGCAAAGACAGAATGTTTGAAAAAAATGAGAGGAGGGGAAAAAGACACTTATAGAGACAGTCCAGGAAGATGAGGCAAGTTTTGAAATATTCCTAAAATATGGGGAGAGAAACCATAACACAGGTCTCCTGGAGCCCAAATGGAAAGTTTTTCACTGAAGTTGCTCTTCTAATCCCCGTAACCACTCCCCACCCCCACCCTCCCGCCGTGGCCAAAACCTTCTGCTGTCTCCATCGTCAGCCCTAAGAACTTTTGACATAGATTCCAACGTGAAAGTATGTTCCAAACAAGTTCATCTTCAACTAGTTTCTTATTTGCCTATTTATTTTCATTTTATTTGAAAGGCAGAGAGAGAGAGAGAGAATTTCCACTTCATGGATCATTTCCCAAATGCCCACAAACAGCTAAGAGCTCAGAACTCAACCCGGGTCTCCCACATGAATGGCAGGGAGCCAAGTCCTTGAGCCATCCCCTGCTGCCTTTCGAGGTGTGTTTTAGCAGGGAGCGTGAGTTGGAAGTAGAGCCAGCGCTCAAACTCAAACACTCTCATAGAGGATATGGGTGGCCCATGCAGTCTCTTAAATGTAGCTCCAAACACCCACACCCATCTGTTTTCCTTTGGCGCGTGTGCTATGTTCCCACAATTGTTCGGAGGGCCAATTTTTCTGCTGACTTTCCCTTCGAAGGCTCAAGTGAAAATATGTGATTCTAGATGGCTGCATCCATTGCCTAACTACCTGAGTCTGCTGTCTCACTTCCTTCACTCAGCCATCCCTTCAGCTAAGGTTGTGGGCTCCACGATCACAAGACAGCACCGTGAAGCGGAAGGCTGGCTGCTCTAGACCAGACTGCGTGCTTGTTACTAGCGATGTGACCTTGACTGATGATCAGCCTCTCTGTGCCTCCATTCCCATCTGTGAAATGGGGATGATGAGATCTATCCCCAACATCATAGGATATAGGATTAAATACATGAATGCCTACAACACACTTAGCACACAGCAAGCCCTCACCGAACACTTCTACTGCACTGTAACCCACAACTAATCTTCATTTGGTGTTAGATATTTCTGAAGGGGGCACAAAGAGAGAAAAAAAAAAAAGTGTCTTTACCTTCTCACCTAAATACAACAGATTGTTTTAAATCAGTACAGCTAATTGTACTGACTTTTTAAACGTGCTTATGTTCGCTATTCTAAGACTGGTGTTTTCAGGATTCTGAAGATCCTTTTCCCAAAGTAATTTATCTCCACACAGTGGAGTTGGTGTTGAGTTCTGAACAAGGGCTCCGCGTTGCCTTTGCCGTATCTTTGCTGTGGAAATGGCTCCCCTCAGTGGACTGATGGAGAATTGCATGTCCTCATGTTTTAGGTGTTCTGCTTGGTGTGTTCATTGATCTGCAATAGTGACTTCACTGCATTCAGCTTAATCACTTGTACATAAATTTATTATCCCAAAGATTCGTTCTGTCAACTCCAGCCCCATTACAGTATGACAAAGACAAAATGTCCTATCAGAAAAGAAAATCAATACTGAGTTGTACCCAACAAAAGTCAAAGAAATATTTCCACTGTCTTAAATGAGGTGCAGTCATCCAACGTGTTTGTGAGGAGTGAAATGGTTCACACATTTGTCTAATTCCAAGGTCCCTTAAGAATTATCCAGGTTCTGATAGGACGGGCCTATGAGTCAGTCTTTAGAGAATGTAGACTGGCCATGAAAGAACCGACTGCTATATTTCTCCACCTCCACGGGTCTGCAAACTCAAGAGCTGACCCATTCATGATGTACTCTCAGGGTCTTCCGGTTGCTTGTCACGTGAGCCATGTACACCTGTCAAATCTTCTCTTCCTTTGTCGTATTTATGGATCAGACTATAGGCCCTGACAGTTCTAGAACTACATTAAAAGGAGTGCCTCTTCTGAGCATATATGAGTGATGTGTGTATCGTAGAAGGTACAACAGTCAGCGTATCCTTGGATGGAATTCCGTCATGGGCCGGGAGATGACAATGACAATGACGGTGATGATGAAGATCATGATGACAGCTAGCACCTGCAGGGCATGCGCTGGGTGACAGGAACATCTGAGCACACCATACGAATCGGCTCCTGTCGTCTTCACAGTAACTCTTTACAGAAGATGCTCTTAGAATCTTCAGTTTACAAATGACGAAAGTCACAGAGTTTCCAAGTGACCTGCCCAGGCGCACACCAGGTCCTGCGCCCCCACTGGAGCCCTCCTCCTGGCTTTCATTACTACACTCCTCTGCCTTTTCCATGATGATTAGATTTTTTTAGGGCCGGCGCTGTGGCGCAGTGGGTTAACGCCCTGGCCTGAAGCGCCAGCATCCCATATGGGTGCCGGTTCGAGACCCGGCTGCTCCACTTCCAATCCAGCTCTCTGCTATGGCCTGGGAAAGCAGTGGAAGATGGCCCAAGTCCTTGGGCCCCTGCACACGCGTGGGACACCTGGAAGAAGCTCCTGGCTCCTGGCTTTGGATCGGGGCAACTCCTGCTGTTGCGGCCATTTGGGGAGTGAACCATCGGATGGAAGACCTCTCTCTTTCTCTCTCTCTGCCTCTCCTCTCTCTGCGTAACTCTGGCTTTCAAATTAATAAATAAATCTTTAAAGAAAAAGAAAATTTTTAATGTGAAATATTAGGTGGGTGAACATCCATTTATAACATTGCAATTAACTATATTCATGAATAAGCATATGATTAATGAATAAGAAAGACAAGAAAGAACCCCCAAAGTAATAGATACAGTTAGTAAATAAGTTAAATAAGTCTGAAAACATGCTGAACCTCCTTAGTCATTAGGGAAATGCATACCACAACCTGTACACATCTATCAGAATGGCCTACAAAGGTTTTTGAAAGCAAACTATAGCAAGTGCCGAAAAGGCTTGTAGAGCAACTGGAAAAATCCTACATGAAAAATGTAGGAAATGCAAAATGGCACAGCGTACAGGGAAAGCAGTTTGGATGTTTCTTATAAAGTGAAATAATCAGTTAGCATAAGACATGGTGACCTCGCCCCTAGAGAGTTACCCAAGATGATAAAAACCTAGATCGGCACAGATTCCTACAGGCAAGGATCTATAAGCACTTTACTCATCACCACCAAAAGCTGGCAACCATGCAACGCCTGTGACTGATCCAGAGATCAACAAAGCGGTCCACAATCATACGCCAGGATGCTTCCCCGTGACAAACAGAAACACACTGCTACAGCCCACAACAGAGAGTAGCAAATCTCATGTGCATTGTGCGAACAAGAGGAGGTCACTCAACAGACTCCATCCTGGAGGGTTCCTTTCATGGGACAGCCCCCAGACAGCAAAACTCCAGGGAGGCAGACCAGGGCAGTGCTGACCAGACGCAGCGGGTGGAGGAGAGGGTTTCTGGGTATCCTGCAGCCGTAGAATGTTTAGGACTTGATTATGGGGACAGTTGCATAACTGTACACATCAGCCTGCTGACTCCAAATATGCAACTAAACCTCTGATTGGTTTCCTTGCTCCAAGCCCATCTCTAAGCTGGGATCTCCACTAGCGCCAACCTGGCCCAGGGCCGAAAACTAAACTTGCGTCCACCTTGGCCGTAAATTCCCTTGCACAGTGGTTTCCCGACTCAGCTCTCCTCCGCCTCACTTGGGGACAATCAGAGCCCTTCACCAGGGCAGCACAAGTCCCTCCAGATGCAGGCGATGTCCCCTGAGAGACGATGGGTTCTTCGAAACCAGGAAAGCAAGGGCTGAACAAGGGCCAGGGTGCTACTCGCTGCTGTGTCTGATGAGATTTTACCTTCAAGAAGCCACGGAGGCTACACTGCAGGGCACAGGCTGCACAGAGGGTGGATTCGTCCGTGGATTTAAGTCCCAGAGTTCAAGTGCTTGCCCCTTGGAGCATGAATTCCCCACCCTTCATGGTGGTGCCTGCATGGACACTCAGCCTGGCCCGAGGTGTCCCATCCCTCATCCTGGACCAAGGCAAGTGGCAAGCAACACAGACACAAGGTGGGGAAAGGCACTGGGAGTTTGGACAAGAGCTGGCTGCCTCTCCAATAACTGGGAGAGCAGGTCAGGCCAAGAATGGATGATGTGCAAGAGGCATTTGAGTACTGCGACCCAGCGGTCCCACTCCCTGACATACCTTGCAAAAGAAAATACTCACACCATGTCCGCAGGAAGACATGGCCTAGAATGCATGCTTGCAGCATTATGTAACAGCAAAGCACAGAGGGAAGAGGAGGAGGAGGAGACGCCTAAACAAGCTAAATGCTCCTCAGTGGAGGGCTGTGATATAATCAACAAATGAAATGTTATGCAAGGGCCTTTCATAAAGTTACTGGAAAACACATATTATGAAAAGCTACCCACGGATTTCAAAAATTTTGCACCAAAAAACATCTTATAATTCCATTTTCCATGAATTTTTTGAAGTATTCTCATATAATAATAAAAATGCATGAACTGGAGTTGCAAGTATCAACCCGTGAAATCTTAAAGACAAATAAAGAGGTCTAACTACTAAAGAATTAGGACCAGTGTTGTGACACGGTAGGTTAGGCCACCACCTGCA